TCTGCACCTAAAAAAGCGTTAAAGTGTGTTTAATAAACCATTATCAACAATGGCTACTTCGAATTATTTCAAAAAATTAATTTAGATATTATTTTAGAGAATAAAAAAAAAACATGGTATCTAACTATTGTGAAATATTAAGTAAAAATAATCTCAAAAAATTACCTGTTTCGATACTGGTCCAAAATACTTGTTGAGGTATTGTAACAACAAAATTAATGGTTCCTTCATTCCTGCAATTAGTAAAATACAGTAATCAGTAATCCATTTACTAACTAATTAATAATACTAATAGATAAATTGCTTTATTTGCATATTATGTATTAATTTATTTTTTTATTGTTTTCCATTCAAATTTTAATTTGTACTTATTATACAAATTCTAAATTATTCAATTGGTTATATAGAGTTTAAAATTATGAATTATGAAGGGCACAAATCAGAATTTATATAAAACGATCCCAAAATTTTGGCTACATTTTTCTTACCTGATATTGCTCCATCCATCAAATAAAATTGCTACACTTGAGGCAGTTACAACAAGTTCTTTAATGGTTGTTGAGGTTTCATTATAAACCCTTTCAAGCAAAGAATTAGACAATGTATCATGGTTAGGTAATTTAAATGCAGGTCGCAATTTTGCAAAAAAAGTTGAGCCACAACTTATTTTTAAAAAGTCTCAATGAGCATCCAGTACCATAGACAGCACGTGCTAAATCCATTTGCAATTTATCCTGTAAAGTTTTACATTATGATTTTTATTTGAAGTTATTTTTTATTTTACTGTTTACTTATGTACTTTATTATTGCTGGACTACTCATTGCAATCAATATTTGTAATAACTAAATTAAATACTTACTATTTGTTCATTAGTTATTTTGCCTGAGAAAAGGTTGCATTTTTTTTTTTCTGAACTCTTGTTGAAGAATGTAGTAGTTTTAAGGGAGTCCATTCCAATTCATTCTTATTCTGTTTAAAGTTTTCAATTCTTGAGGTTGAAGACCTACTTTGGCTTCCACAGGAGTTCAAATTATGAAAGAATGACTCAATTGGAGTTTGCAATGTAGATGGTGAGTATATTTTTTTGCCTGCTTCTCCTTCTTGAGCAACTAAATTTTCAGGAACAACTGCTTTTATTATTAAACCAGTTTGAACTTCTTTTTGTTTAAAGGAAACTTCATTTAAATACTTGTTTTTTATTTGGTCACTACATTTCATACAGTTGAATATGTGCTTCGTCATTCGTGTGCCATTTTTTGCTAATTTTAGGCTGCAAAATTTGCATACAACTTGGTAATTTTTAAAACCTCCAGGTTCTACAGGTGCCTCATTGAACAAATTTGCAATAAAACATTTCTTTCTGCCTGGCATAGTTTTTGATAGGTTGTTAGTTTATTTATATATATTATCTGAAACTATTTTTTTAGAGTTTATACAACATTTACAATTTATACTAAATAAAAATTTGTAAAATGAAAAATTTAAATATTTTCAACTCCATTACCAACAATGATTAAAAAAACCTTTTACAAATTAACAAAATTAAACTCTCAAAAAAACTATGTTTAAAACTCAATACTTATATATAAGTAGTATAATAAAGTAACAAGTTTATTTAAATAATTTCTTTTAAAAACAAAATATGGTTTATATTTTGCTGTTTTTTTTTAACATAGGCGATTAAATTGTTATAGCTAATATATAGGGTAATATACATTATTTTAAATAAAAAATGTGTATTTGAAGGTTTAATATCATTGTAACTGTTTAAAGGTTCATTAATATCTAAAATATAAACAATACTACAAAAAAAAAACAACATAAAAAACATGTTTTTTTTGTGCTTTGTTTTTTTTGCAAAAAAAAAAAAACGTTATTTTAAAAAAAAAAAAACGTTATGTTTTGTAATAGCTGGTTATTCTACCCAAACAAAAGTTGTTGACTGCCATCTTACTGAAATCATTGCAAAGTTAGTATCTGTCAGGGTATTAGCCAGGAAAAAATTTTATACAGTGTTTTTGCTATATTGGAATACTAGGAATATATTATTAAAAATTCAAAAAGAAAAAAAAAGATCATTGCATTCTAACATTTAAAAAAGTTTAAGCCAAATCATGACTCGCACCCACAGTTCCCTAACTTATTTTATACTAGTAAATTAAGGTTCCACATTAAGTATAAAAATTTGACATTTTTTAGAAACATAAGTATCTTTAAAATGGTTCTTTTTTTTTAGTGTGTACTATTCTTAACAAGAATAAAAGATATTTTTTATATTTTATAAATGTTAAATTAAATTATTCAACTTGTTTCCTTTAGAGCAATCTTTTTAAGACTTTTCCTTTTTATATCACGTCTCTTCTTTGTGTAATATTGTAGAGAGAAAACAAGAACGAAAGAAAATCATTTGAATTAACTTTATAATGAAAAACTTTGAATTAATTTTATAACTTGATCTATTTTAATTGTGTGCATCACTTTTAAATACATTTATATATTCTAAATGATTATTGACAAATATTGTCTTCTTTTATATTTATATTCATCTTTATATTATAAATGTGAAAAAATTTTAGATTCGTATTTTTTTGTTTTTTTTTTCGCAGAAGAGCCGCAAACTTAAATATCTAGTAAATTTTGTATTTGTATAATAAAATTTTTTTTTTTTGTATTTATAAATTTTGTTTTTATCAGTTAAACTTTTGTGTTTAAGTAAAATAAAATAAAGTTATACAAATTTATGTAAATTTAATTACCCTTTTTTATGTTTTATGCAAACATAAATGATATGTTTTATGCAAATTTCATTTTTAATTTTTTTGTTGTTATTATTTTTGGTGTACTTTACCAAAATTAGTTTACCAAAAGTATTTTTAGTTCCCTTTATAAAAAAAACATTAATAACTGATTTTAAAGTAAATTATTTATTATTTAATAATATGCAAAGATTTTTGTAAATTTCCTAACTTAAGATAAACAGTAAAAGTGTAAATAAAGCGTTTTTGAATAATAAGAATAAATAAATATGTATATATAAGCTATTGAAAAATCTGAATAAGAGAATAATGATGTCAATCAAAAAATAAATTTTTGAATGAATGATCTTGCTTGTTAATGACGCTTTTTTTCACATTAAAAAAAAAAACATTGTTCTTGATCAACTTAATTCTTTTCTTCATTGTGTGTACTAATTACATTTTCTATACGTCTTGCATGACACTTAAAATCTGAGTCTTATATAGTTTTTTTTTTTTTATCTCTTATTCACCTCTGTATATAATACTGTTCTAATATTTGAGTTGGTTTTTCTTGTGAAGCTTTTTCTCATTTAAACAAGGCCCAAATAGGCATTTTAAGTATAGTTGGACTGCTTTATTATAATTAGGTTGCATTTCTTTCTTATTTTTGCTAATAACACCATGGTCACTGCTTAAGCAAACTTTTTCAACCCAAAAGTTAAGTTGTTGATAGTTTCTGGTATCTTAAAGATCTTCAAGTGTTAGTGAGCTTCTTGCAGAAGAACTTCTTGAACTTCTTTCAGAAAATCTTCTAATACTTTTAACACATTTTTTTGAATTTCACAATGTTTCAAGTCAAATTTTCTGATTTTTCTTTAAAAAGTCAGATTATGCTATTTAATGACATACGTCTGCCATCATTGATATTTGAAATTTTTCAAGATATATGATGTATATTTTTTCAAGATATATGATGTATATATGGTGTAATTGTTTGATGCCTTCATAGCACTATTCAATCATTTTTAGTATAGTTGAGTTTTACAGTTTGTAAATAATAAATTTAGATGTATAAGAGTTAGCAATGTTGTTTTTCAGGTTTATTTGAACTGAATTTGTTAACAAAAAATCAAAACAAAAAAGCTCTGTAGCACAGGTCTTTCAATATTTTATATAAACCTAATATTTTTAAACTTTTCATAAACTATATTAGTATTCATTTTTTCACTAACATCAACAAAATAACTAAAATACACAAATGTATTAATATAAAGTTCTCTATTGTTCGGTCTTTTAATAGGAGTTGAAAATGATTAACAAATATAATGATATGAGTTGTAGAGCATAATGGTAATGAAAGAGAAAAGTTTCAAAGTTTGTACAAATAAAGCTAATTAATAATGTTATCAGCAAAATATGTAAGCATAGTAGTATAATCTAACTGAATAGTAAGATACCTGAGTAGGAATTTTAGACATAGGAACTCTTTAGAACAATGTTGATGAAAGGTTTGAGTCTAGCTACTAGAATTATAGAAGTTTAAATTTCATATTTAAGTTAGAATTAGAAGAAAAATATCAAAGAAATAAATTTATAAAAGGTTAACTCAAAGATAAAAATTCCGACAAAGTTATCTTATACAATTTTTATCTTGCACCTGTTTTTTATTTTTTTTCATTTTGCTAATATCCTGCTAATACTAAAGTTTATCAGAAAATAATTTTTCAGAATTATTTATATTTATTTTTTCAATAGTATCAAAAATATATTATTTTTGCAATAAAAATCAAAAATCTTGTAACTAATATTAGTGGAATATTTCCCTTTCAGCATTTTTAACTTTATAATAAAATACTTTAAATGTAACATGCAGAAAAGTTTTATGCTATGCAATTTTAAATAAATATTTGTAAAATAAATAAATATAATCATCAACATCATTACCTACCTGATAAACTCCAGCATCTCTATTATAATCTCCAACATCATTACCTACCTGAAAATCATCAAAACTATTTTTTTTTTTTTTTTTTTTTTCTTTTCTATTTAATCATAAATAAAAAATAGATTTGATTAAAGGTAATGACCAGTTCTAAATTTCTTTGTAAATACTAACAGTAGTCTTTTTTTTAATCAAAAGATATTTCTGTATATCAAAAGATATTTCTTAGTAAATAGTAGCAGTGTGTTTATTTAGAAAGATTTGAGATAGTATAATTATTTTCTTAGTTATTATTCAATATTTATATGTTTATATATAGCTGAGTGCTTCATAGAGATTGGTGATTCCACACAAGCATCAGGCTGTCTCCTTGAAGCTCATTCAAAGTTTCCTCTTTCACCAGATGTTTTATATATGGTGAGACATTTTTATATAAGTTGTTTAAATTTCACAGTGTTAGAGAAATCATCAATACCTTTCCCAAACTTTATCTATAAATAAAAAAGTTACACGTAATATGATGTCAGGTTAATTTTGCTTTACTGTTTGTAATCTTTGATTTTACAAAGAGTGCTCAATCTTTTTAAAAAACGAAGCAGTACTATTTTAGTAAAACACTTTTATTGCTAGTTAGAGTTATTTATAGTTTATTAGCAAAGTTAAAGTAAAAACAAAAAATATTTTTAAAAATTATTTTATTATTTCTGTAAAATGATGTAATTATAAAAGTTTTTTTTAAGTAATTACAGCAAAGATGTTAAGTTATTCCAAAAACCAGAAGCAACTCAGCCTGTCAGCTAAGTATCTTGATTGGAAATGGTTCAGATTTTTTTCCATCAGAACTCCCAATTTCCAAATTTATCTTTAAGCATGGCTTTTATTTATAAGAGATATCTTTAAATATGGCTTATATTTATATGAGAGATGTCCTTATATTTTTATGAGAGACATGGCTTTTATTTAAGAGAATTTTTCTGAAGTATGGCTTATATTTAAATAAAATATGCATAAATATGGCTTATTAAAAAGATTTTCTTAAGTATAGCTTATATTTAAAAAAAGGTTACAAAACTATACTATTTAATCAACTTTTTCAGAAAAATTATTCCAGGAATTTTATAACAGTGACAAAAAAAGCTATTATAAAAATTTCTAATAGTGGCTCAGATGAAGTCTGTAAAGATGTAAATAATGAAATAAAAATTATTAATAAAAATAATGAAATAAGAATATTTTGGAAACAACCCAAATAAAAGAAAAAAGTGGTTTATATAACACCATAAATGTAAAAAATTTAGCAAGCTAATTTAGCTAAGATATATAAGTATAGCCATTATAACATTAGGCAGCTTAAGGCACTATATGCAAAAATAGCAATTGCTGCCCTAATTGATGCTAAAACAGAAGGAAAAAAACAGAAGGAATAAAAAAAAACAATGGTTTTAGTTGCATTTATTTTAAAAGTAGATAAAGTGATAAAACCGTGATTTTTTGCAAAACATTCTCGTTTGCCAAAAGGCATGAACCATGGCCTTCTATAATAACAGGCCTTGACATCGCGCTATAAAGTTGCCAGACTAGAGGCCGGTTTATAATACTGTGTTTACATTTCCTCTTTTAACTTTACAAAAAAGATTTAGTTTGCGCTTTTAGAGCAGATTTTTCAAATTCGATTGGTTAGGTTTGGTTAGAGTGCAACTTTAAGACGTAAAAGTTAACTTCATAACACTGGCTTGAGTATTTTTAAACTCATATTAAGTTATTTGAGTAGTAGTAGAAGATGCCTTTAAAATGCTGCATACCTCTCTGCAAGTCAAACTATCACTCGACTGAATCAAAAATATCGATATATAAATTCCCAAAAAATCCAGAGGAAAGAAAAAAATGGAGAGATGTCATCCCAAGAGCAAATTTCTCTATTTCTGACTATACAGCAGTATGTCGACTGCATTGGCCTGATGATGCACCTTTTGAAACCAAGTATGGAAAACAACGACCATTAAACCCACCATCTGTTTTTAAAAATATTCCGCCTAGTTGTTTACCAACACCATCGAATAAAGTCAGAAAAACTGTAACTTCAAGAGGATTTCGAAATTTCTTTCCAGACGAGTTTAATGTTTTTCTAAAAGACGATGAACTTTCATTCGCCGAAATTCAATCTATTTTTATTAATAGCAATGATGTTATTGTTTTTCAATTTAACAAAAATAGTGTGCATATACAGTCAATATGTACAAACTTGGAGTTCCATTGTTTCTTTTGGAAATTTTTGATAATTATTCATTCACAGCTTACCATAATGGCACAACTTGCAATATCTCATCTTTAACTGCAAACAATTTAAAATTAATAAAAACAAGATCTGCTTTATTTGAAGCAGTTAGATTTTTAAAACATAAAGAGAGTTCTCATCAATCTAATATTCTATTTGAGCACCTTAATGTGATAAGAAAAGTTAGTGTTGGTGAAGTATTATATACTCCAGATATTATATGTAGAGCGTATGAGTATTTTGCTATGCGACGTAGTTTATATGATCGTTTGTGTGTTGACTACAAGTTGCCCAGTATACGCACTTTAACACGACTGACCTCAAAAATTAGTTCTATGGAGGACCTAAACTTCATAAATAGTATCTTTATGAATTTAGATCCATTAAAAAGAACTTCCATTATTTTAATTGATGAAGTTTATATAAAAGCTTCATTACTTTACCAAAGAGGCGCGTTGTTTGGTCATTCAGTAAACTACCCAGAGAGGCTAGCAACAACAATTTTATCATTTATGATTAAATGTCTTTTTGGAGGACCAGAATTTATATGTAGAGCTCAACCAGTTTCAAATCTTTCCGCTGAATTTCAATTCGCACAATGTCAACAAATTCTTGATGCAATAAATATTATTGAAAACAGTAAGACACTTGCAATCATCACTGATGGTAACCGGGTAAATCAACGATTTTTCAGAACATTTAAAACATTTGAAAGTAAACCATGGTTAACAACATCAGGTACATATTTATTGTATGACTATGTCCATCTCCTAAAATGTATACGAAATATTTGGTTGACAGAGAAGACTGGTCAACTTTGTTTTTTGCACAATGGGGAACTGACCTTGGCCAAGTGGAGTGATTTGGAAACCTTGTATAAAACTGAATCTATTAGCCTTTAAAACTTTCTAAACTAACAGCTAAATCAGTTTATCCAAAACCAATAGAGAGTCTGTACAATTTTGTTTGTCTGTGTTTTGTGAAGAAACAGTAGCTGCTTTTAGAACACATCCAGACATTGAAAATAAAGAATTTGCTGTATTTATTGAAAAAATTATTTCTTTTTGGAGTGTTGTTAATGTCAAAGCACCTGGTGCTGGAATTCGATTTAGAAATGAATTGCGCGGAGAAATACACTCAATTGATGATCAACAGTTACAACTGCTGCGAGATACTGCTGATTTGGCAAAATTTATGAAACCTACAGGTAAGCGATTTAAGCAGCTTACACATGATACCAGTACTGCAATACATACATGCTATGGTTTCATTGATCTTGTGGAAACGTTATTGAGTACTGGATCCAAATATGTTTTATTAGGTTGGTTTTCAACAGATCCTCTTGAAAAAGCTTTTTCTAAGCTTCGTCAGGGGTCTGGGGGTACATACTTCATAAATGCTAAATCTGTACTTGAAAAAATACATATTCAACATACTAAACTGATATTACAACTAGACATTCCTGTTAATGGTGTTGATGGTCATATTTGTGACATATGTTGCAGAGATGTTTCTACTGATGAAAAAGAATTGCTAGATAATTTGCATGATCTTGAAAGCTTGGTTAATAAATCGACATTATTAGCTATCGTTTACATAGCTGGCTATGTGCCAGCTATGTAAACGATAAAAAAATGAAATAAATATCTATGATGATATAGTTATTATAACGTTATGATACAGTTATTATAACGAATATGGAGATTATCTGAATAGCTTAAACAGAGGTGGACTTGAAATTCCTACTGATACTCTCGTCCAATGGTCAATATTTTGTTTTCTATTTTTTCAAGGTGCCACTGGACCTTTATGCAGAACATTTTGTGTAACTCAGTTTCAATTCATAGCAGCCAAGTATAGATTTAAAATAACAAAGAGACAATGCAGAATATATTCTAATATTTTGTTGAAGAATTATGCACTAATTTCTACTCCTAATAGTAGCAGAGAATCGAAAGCAAAAATACTAAAGCTGTCATAGTTTTTTTGAATTTCAGGTTTTAATTCTCCTTTTGTTTTATGTCTCTGGATGTATTTAAATTTAAAAATAGTTATTTGATACATAATAAGAGATACATAAAACTAAAAAGTTTTTTAATGAATTGACTTTGTTTTTGTTTTTATTTGACATTTTTTGATGTTACTTTATTTCAAGTTATGTTCTGTAAGCAAAAAAAAAAAAAATTCTTTTAACATTTTTAAATATGTTAAAGTATGAACATTTTTCAAACGATTTTAGTTTTCTTATTATAATTTTGTCTTTATTAAAGATTCGAATAAGAAAGTATTGACAAAGTATTAAAAGCGATTAGTAAGACTTTATATAAATATACAAGCAATCAAAGTTTAATCGGCCTTCAGTTTTTGCGGCGTGTCGCGCGATGTCAAGGCCTGTTATTATAGAAGGCCATGGCATGAACATACTTAAGTTTGCAGTTTGTAAAATGCCTGAAAGTGTCATATCTGAAACATTAAAAATCATGACATACATACATACATACATACATACATACATACATACATACACTTTTACTTGGTATTATCCTAGATACTTTTCCTTAATATTATCACAAACACTTTTCCTTGAAATTATTACCAAAAAAAAGATTTTCCAAAAGTATTTAAATCTGGGTCTCTAAAGAAAAATATAAAATTTTCAAAAACAATAATCAATATATAATTTTGCTTGAGTTTTTAATTACTTTTTCTGCCTTATATCTTAACTTCTTACTTTATACTTACACTTTGTTACTTTTGTTTATTTTATTATTATAATAACATTTAAAATACTTGGGTTAAAAGAAATTGATGTTTCTTAATTTCATTAAGAAATTTACAAATAACTTAATTAAATTCATGCAGTAAGAAGTTAAAATTATAAAAAGAAAATGATAAATAATACTATAAATAGCATTTATTACTTTTATCAAGCTCATTATTAAGTTTGTTGTTGTTCATTGACAAACTGTGAAACCATTAACATTTTAAGTAGCGTTTTTGGTAAATGGTAATAGTTAACTTCACGGAATGGAAACCATTCTTAACACGTGTTATGCGCATAAAAATACGCTATAGTAGATATATATATATATATATATATATATATATATATATATATATATATATATATATATATATATAT